AACAAAACTTTTGTTCAAGAGAAATATAGGCTGCCAGGATGGGCTAAAAGGAATTTAATTCACCCTTTTTCTTATAGAAAGGGACCCAAACTAGTTTGGGTTCCTAAGACTAACCCCTGATTTCTTTTTGCGGGTCCAAGTGAAGGGGAGCAACCAAATATGGTACATAGATAGTGGTTGTTCAAAGCATATGACTGGAAGCAAGAACCAGTTCCTTTCACTTAAGGACCTAAAATGAGGTAATGTCTCCTTTGGAAATGGCAAGAAATGTGAGATAATTGGGATTGAAAAGGTAGGTAAGACAGACTCACATTCTATTGAGAATGTCTACTTGATAAATGGCTTGAAACATAGCCTAATCAGTGTATCACAACTATGTAACAGAGGTAACTTGGTAGCATTCACCTCTACCAAATGTTTTGTGATAAACCTTACCACTGATAAGATTGTTTTGCAGGGAAAAAGAGTAAATAATATATATATATATATATATATATATATATNTGGACAATGATCCCCTAATTTGGCACAAAAGACAAGGACATGCAAGTCTAAGTCAACTCAACAAATTAGCCTCCAAGGACCTGGTGATAGGGCTGCCTAATATCAAGTTTAAGGAAGACAAAATTTGTGAGGCTTGTGCAAGGGGAAAGCAGGTAAGATCCTCTTTTAAAAGCAAGAAAGTGGTAAGCACGACCAGGTCGATGGAACTGGTTCATATGGATCTCTGTGGTTCAATGAGAACACTAAGAAGAGGTGGTAAGAAATATGCGATGGTGCTTGTTGATGATTTCTCTAGGTTTACTTGGACATTGTTTTTAACATCTAAGGATGAAACATTTGACATGTTTACTGCCTTTGTTAGAAAAACTCAGAAACAACTAGGTAATCAACTTGCATCAATTAGGTCTGATTATGGAACTGAATTTGAAAATACTAAGTTGGCTGAATTTTGTGATGAGCATGGTATAGATCATAATTTTTCTGCCCCTAGGACTCCTCAACAAAATAGAGTAGTTGAAAGAAAGAATATGACTCTTGAAGATATGGCTAGTACTATGCTTCTTTCGAGTAAACTACCCCATAGCTTCTGGGTAAAAGCTGTAAACACTACATGTTACATTATTAATAAGTTCATGACTAGACCTCTTGTAGAGAAGACTCCCTATGAGTTATTCAAAGGGAGAAAACCAAATATATCCCATCTTAGGGCATTTGGATGCAAGTGCTTTGTACATAATAATGGAAAGGACTCCCTAGGTAAGTTTGATCCCAGAAGTGATGAGGGAGTATTCTTGGGATATTCCTTACATAACAAAGCTTATAAAGTATACAACAAAAGAACTATGTGTGTAGAAGAAAGTGTATATGTAGTTTTTGATGAAACTAGCGTTCTTTCTGAGAGACAAGAACATGAAGATGAAGCTATTGGACTAGAAAAAGAGTTAAATAAAGCTGCACCAGAAGAAAGAACAGGTGATGGAACAAGTTTTTCTAGCCAGGGCAACCTGACAGGGGGAACTGAACAAAGAAGAACTGAATCTGATCCCCAAATGGAACCTGTCCATGAGCCTGTTCCTCGGCAACAGAACATGGGAGAAACATCAAACAGAAACCAGTTGGTTGTGAAACCTTACAAGTATCAAAGTTCTCATCCCATTGAGAACATAATTATTGATCCAACCTCTGGAGTTAAAACTAGATCTCAATTAAAGAATCTATGTGCTTTTGATGCTTTCTTATCTCTTATTAAACCAAAAAATATTGCTGAGGCTTTGTAGGATGCAGACTGGATAAATGCAATGAAATATGAACTCAATCAATTTGAAAGAAGTCAAGTTTGACATCTAATTCCAAGACCCAAGGACATATCAGTAATTGGCACTAAATGGGTCTTCAGAAACAAACTTGATGAAGATGGAACTGTTGCAAGGAATAAGGCAAGGTTGGTGGTTCAAGGTTACAGCCAGGAGGAAGGCATATACTATGATGAGACCTTTGCTCCAGTTGCAAGATTAGAAGCAATAAGACTCCTCATAGCCTTTGCAATACACATGGAATTTACTCTTCATCAGATGGATGTCAAAAATTCTTTTCTAAATGGCTACTTAAAGGAAGAAGTGTTTGTCAAACAACCCCCAGGGTTTGAGAGCAAGGAGTGTCCGGAACATGTATACAAATTAGACAAGGCTCTCTATGGACTCAAGCAGGCTCCTAGAGCATGGTATGAACGACTGTCCAATTTCCTACTTGAACATGGCTACAAGAGAGGTAATATTGACAGTACTTTATTCTTGAGGGAAAAAAGGTAAGGACCTTCTTGTAGTACAAATATATATTGATGACATAATTTTTGGAGCAATCACTAAAAAAGTCCTACCCATGTTCAAAATCGTCACAAAGACTTATCCCTCTAAAGTTTGAACCAGTTCCGTCTCTAATTGAATCCTCACCGTATAAAATGCTTAAAATCTAGGGACGCTTAACCGCTCATTCAACCTGAAATTTTAGGTTGATTGGACTTCTAATTGACTACAAAAATCTATCGTTAGTCCTTAATTAAACCTCTCTATTTAGAAACCCATCATCACAATTACTGCTTCACTCAATATTCTCTAAGCCGTTGAATTTCCTCTGCTCTTCATTCTTCTCTCTTCCAAAACCCCAATTCAGAATTCCTCTTCCAAATTAGCAAAGATGTCTAACCCCTAAGATAACCCAGACACTCCTCCACAACCTACCCCCTCTGATTCCTCCACCCTTCTTCAACCCAGCACAACCCCTCAACCTAGGAGAAGGCGAGTGAAAATGCTTGCTCGTAAAATGGTGGCAACTGGTACTCTTTCAAAGAAATTGAATGTGAAATTAAAGGCAAGCCAAGCCCAAGATACTAAGAACTTAGATGATTCATTCAAATCTGCGAGTGAGGGGGAAAGAACTGGGTCTTCTAACTTTGAGAAGGCTCAAAATTCCCCTTTTGAGGTACGTTTTGCTTTAGTTGAAAACTTAGAAAATAAGTTTGTTCTGGTTGGGTCTGTTAGGAATCTGGAATTGCCTGTGTCAAGAAGGAGATGTGGTAAAAATAAAATTGAAAAATAAAAAGGAGAGTGAGGGTGTGAGTAGTGATGTGAGAGGAAAAGGGAAAGAAGTGGTTGATTCCTCACCCACTTCTGCATTGTTGAGACCGACTATCCGTGGGGCTGAACACGCAACTGAAGAAGAGAATAGCAAGAAGACAGGGGGAGGTGGTTCAAGAGAGGATGCTGAAAGGTTGGTTAATCTTAGTTCACAGGCAGATGAACCTGGTTTATCTATTGAGGAGACCCTAGCAGACCTTCTGAAGAAAGTGGCTCCAAGCTATGATCCAAATAAAAGGAGAACCCCCACACCAAAACCCCCAGCGCTACAAAAACTTCCAAGAAAAGAAAGTCTTATTCTCCAACAATTGCTGAGATTTCTCTACCAAAAGGAAGGGCCACAAGAAGTATGGTGAAGCAAAGTGAGAGCGAGTTACAAAAGGCTATGGCATAAAGCAAGAAGAAGAGGGTGGATAAAGGGAAAGCTAAGGTTACAAAGCCTGTTGAGGCTATTGATGTGGATGAGATGGAACAGGTTCATCAGGAAGAGCCCACAATTGTAAAGGTTCAGAACCCCAAGCCCAAAAAGACCAAGACTTCTTCCAATAAGTCTTCATCTATGTCTAAGACTACTGAACCTTCATTGGCCAAGAGGACAAGGTCTGCGGTGAAAAACAAGCAAGTTAGAATTACCGAGGATGAGGAATAGAGTGGTGAAGAAAGGAGTGAATCTGATGAGGAACAAGACAAGCTGGCCAAGTTTGGCAAGAGAAAAATCTTAAAGGGGAGACTTCTGAAGGACTTGGTGGAACCAGGGATGGTTCGATTGGTTGATTGATGAGTTTTCAATGTCTTTGCCTTATACTTTTTATATTTTGATGATCTAACAAACTTATTGTTAAGAACTAGATAGAGAACCTGACTCACTTGGTACACATCTCAAATGAACAAAGTCCAGTCTGATCTCTAGCAAATGAACTACTACAAAGAGGAACACAACATGTAACTGATCCCTTGGTGTTCTCTGATAGAAGTACAGGTCAACAACACCTTGAATGCAAATGCAGAAAGTGACTGTCTGCAACTGTACACGCAACATTGCAGCAGATAGTGCGTCAGTCACTTCTCATTGGGAAGAAGCGTGTATCAAGAATTGACATCACCATTGTGATGTCTTTTGTAGTATAACAACCTGGTGCAAGGCACAATATATTAACTTGAACATTTAGTGATATTCTCTCAAACTGTAAAGTGTTCATCCAGCATTGAAGTCACAAGTGTGTCAAGAACAAGAAGACAACTCCACTAAAGGATCAGTTTCACAATGAGTCTATATGTATCCGTAGTTGAGTTGTAATCTTGTTATTTGTTCTTCATTGTAACTCCTATCTTGCTTTCTTAGAAGCTGTGTTTTAGGAAACCCAAGAGATCACAAACCCTCTAAGTTTGTGTTGTGACTAGAGTTAGTCATAAGTTAAAGTTTTTGTAATTAGAGAGTGACAAAGTGTCTTGTGGTAAGAGTATCACAAGTTAGTTAAGTTGAAGTCTTTGTAATAGAGTCATTATAAAGTGGCTTGTAATAATAAGATTACAAGTTAGTGAAGTTGAAAGCCTACACGTGTAGGTTGTGGTTTTTGTCCCTTTGAGTGGGACTTTCCACATAAAAATCCTGTGTCTCTTTTACTTACTGCTTCATAAGTATTCTCAATAGAAACTCATAGAGGATTAGGTGATCTATAGTTTGGTGGACTCATATAAGTTAACAATTGGTATCAGAGAAGGTCCTTTATAAAAGGTTAACACCTAGAAAGGATCTCAATGGCTGATCCACCCAACTTTGAGGAAGGACAATCAACCTATAGACCTCCTAGATTCAATGGTCAGTACTACGGCTGGTGGAAGACTCATATGCATGATTTTATAATGGCCGAAGATTCAGAACTATGTGACATCATCTGTGATGGTCCACATGTTCCTATGAAGAAGCTTGGAGAAACTGGACCAATGGTGCCGAAAGACAGAAAGGAGTACACCGATATTGACAGAAAAGCCGTAGAAAATAACTATCGCGCCAAGAAAATCTTTGTATGTGGTATAGGACCTGATGAGTACAACAAAATCTCAACTTGTGATTTTGCCAAAGAAATATGGGAAGCATTGCCGGCACACGAAGGAACCACTCAGGTTAAACAGTCTAAGATTGACATTCTCACCACTGAGTATGAGCTCTTCAGGATGAAAGATGATGAGTCTATACAGGATTTGCATACTAGATTCACATCTATCATAAATGAGTTTCATTCACTTAGAGATGTTATTTCCAGAAATAAACTTGTAAGGAAAATTCTCAGTGTTCTACCTAGTTCTTGGAAGAGTAAGGTAAATGCCATCACTCAAGCTAAAGATCTACAAACTCTAACCATGGATGAGCTGATTGGAAATCTGAAGACATACGAGATGAAAATAAAGAAAGACAGTGAAAAGAGAGAGCCAAAGAGGGAAAAAAACCTGGTACTCAATGTCACACCTCCTTTTTTACTACACCCCGTAAAGGGTATATATATAAGAGAGTTTTTCTAATTAAAGGACAATCAAAACGGGATTGTTTATTTATTAAAAAAGCAGAGTCTCCACTTGGGAGATTTATGGTATCCTAAGTCACCGGTTCAAATCCCAAGTCGAGGAAAAGATTGACTCTGTATTACAGTCTGTGAACCAGAAATCCGAGTAAGGAATTCTGTTAACCCGGGAGAAGGTGTTAGGCATTCCTGAGTTCCGTGGTTCTAGCACGGTCGCTTTGATCATACTTGGCTTATTAAAATTACTGAGTTTAGATCCTATGTGCATTTACCCTTTACCGCTTTTAAATCACTTGATTATTCGTAGTTAAAGAATTGAGTTACGCGTACATATACTTTTTTTCTTTGGCACGTCAAAAATCATGTCACGCGAACGTGTCCATAACTAATAACGCTTTGTTTATTTATTAAGAAAGTTTAGCCGAAGTTACGCGAACGTATGCTCGATTTTGTTTTTAAGAAATTGTAACTATATCACGCGAATGTATACACAATCACGATGGTATTTTAAACAACACTAAAGGTTTCTCTACGAACATTTGTTATTTTACATCTATATTATGAAATTAACACAAGAGCCATTTGTTACTAAGTGTCTAATTATGGCTTGCCTCAGATTAACTACCACAAACAATTGAACTAACACGATTTAAGGCTGAGGTATGCAACTATTAGAGAAAGGGGAAGGGGCGTTAGATGTTCAGAAGCTGGACCATCCTCATTAGTTAACGTCAGCAACAATAAAACTTTTAGACGAGGAGGCCCAGGACAAACAAGAACAACGAGACCACTCCTCATTTCCAAAGGGGCCTCTGAGACCAGGCCCAAAAGCCAGCTGGGCCTACTGGCCCTGGTCAGCACATAACTGATTGGTATGCGTATAAACTAAGGTATGACTGAACAAAAATGCCTCACTTGAATTTTAAAAGACAATGCAATAAAAGATTATAATACAAAACTCTGATTCTGAAAGGAAAAAAACTAAGCTAAACATGAAACCAATTTAAACCAGATCTAAAGAAAAATATCGAAGCAAACTTAGACCCCTGCTATAGGAAAGCAAATATTTCCTAACATCGAGGCTTATCGCACAAATCAGACTCCAAAGCTATGGCATTGAACCATCAATTCAACTTGCATACAAGATTCAAATCCAAACTACAGTAGCCTTAAAAACCTTACTTAGTACACATATAAAGTCTAAAAAATCGAATTGACTGCACTTAAACAAGTCCAAATCCTGACCTTAAAACGAAGAAGTAATGCAAATGACTACATTTGAAGAATCAGACTAAGATGGACATCAAACTAAACTACCAGGTCATATGATATTCAGAAGCTCAGTCTCTGATCACATATTCAGAGTTTGAAAGGCAATAAGCGAAATTTTCCAAATAAAAAAAAGTAGACAAGTAAACTAAAATATGAACACAACTAACTTTGAATACAACTCAGAGCTCTAGATTTCCAGTTCGATTCCAAATCAAGCTTTACATTAGGTGGAATGTAGAAATGTGTACCTGAATAACAACAAAATAGACCAACAATTAGTTTGCAACTAAGAGAAAGCAGCAGTAATAGTCCAATAGCAGCAGAAACAAGCCACAACCCTTAATTCAAACCACTTTCAAACCCAGATGAATCAGAATATACTTCAGAAACTAAGATAAACTTCAAGAATTGTAGAAGATCTCGATGGAACAGTAATTTTTCAGTATTTCTAGCTATATCTAATTTTTTTAAAAAAGATCTCTCTTTTTAAAATTTCAGTAAATGATCCTTTTATAGAGGGGTGTTAGGGCAACAAATACAAATCTCAGATTTTGCCCCTTGCACCTCTCAACATTTTCACTTTAGCTTAGAGATCCTTAGCCAATTTTTGTTTTTGCTTAACTACCCTTAGTTCAAATATCAGAGTTTCAAAACAGCCCTCCCAACTTCCTAGAAGCTTCCTTTTCTGTTATAATGAGATTTCCTATACTAATTTCCCTACATTACCCTTTAAGACCCATGTTATTTACCCTTTAAACTACTGGCAAACCCAAAGCAGATGTTAGTCAAGGTGACCTGGTAAATCTAGACGCCAAGTGAGGCCTGGCTTGAACAGCCCAATACAGTTAAGCCCAAATCGAATGAAAAGGAAACAAGGCTGTGGGCATTTTAAAACAATCTTTGTGAACTTGTTATCAATTTATCAAACACAAACCAACAGATTGGGCTTGACTTTTGAGCTAAGCCATGACTAAAATCAGTAATCGGCGCCCGGAACCAAACAAAAACCCAATGACTCTTATCTCCCTTTTTTATGGAAAACAAAACTAAAATTGCTTGTAACTAGAAATTGAGAACCAATAACAGAATCGACAAATCAAGGAAACTAGATGGAAAGGAAACAAAAAAAAGATGCTAATATCAGAGAAAACTAACAGAAGGGAAGAGGATGTAGGAAATAAAGAAGAAACACAGAGATAAGTGAGGAGAGAGAAACCGAAAGAAGAAATACCTCACCCTACGCCTTTGATAAACTCCGGCCAGTTTGATTTGGATAAAAAACGAGTGTTAGTCGGGTTGTTCTCGTAAGAACAACCGTCTAACACTCATTTCGAGTCGAAACGATCTCGATGCTTGGTGAATAACATCGACCTTGCATGCCGGAACAGAGGTAAGGGAAGAATCAGGGTTCCGTTTTTTACGATCTGGAATTAAAGACCATTGGAGAGGATTTGGGGAAAAGTGGTTGTAGTTTAGTGTTTAAGGGACTGTGGGGATTATGTGGTCGAGATTTGGTGGCGATTTGGAGCTGTATCGCTGGTAACAATGGGGAATTAGGGTTTTGTCATGGAGGAGACGAAGTAAAGCTAGACTAGACTATGATCTATGCTTTACAAAATCCTATCTTGGTCTTCAAACTTGATCTTGTGTTTCTTGTTGTCTTGTTGTCTTGTATTCTTTTGGTAAAATTCCTTTGTTGCCGTCTTGAATTGTAAACTGAGATGCTTTCCTTTCTCCAGGCGGATGCCTAACTGCTGAACTTGATATGTATTCCCATGCTATCCAGGCGGGCTCCTGACTTCAAAACGTGAACATATTCCCATGCTATCCAGGCGGGCTCCTGACTTCAACTTGAAATGTATTCCCTGCTCTCCAGACGGGCTCCTGACTTCAACTTAAAATGTATTCCCTACTCTCCAGGAGGGCTCCTGACTGCTGCATTTGGAAGTATTCCCTGCTCTCCAGGCGGGCTCCTGACTTCAACTTGAAATGTATTCCCTGCTCTCCAGGCGGGCTCCTGACTTCAACTTAAAATGTATTCCCTGCTCTCCAGGCGGGCTCCTGACTTCAACTTAAAATGTATTCCCTGCTCTCCAGGCGGGCTCCTGACTGCTGCATTTGAAAGTATTCCCTGCTCTCCAGGTGGGCTCCTGACTTCAAAATAGATAAAATAAATTTTTTTCTGCCCCAGTTTGGTGGCTGGGCATAGATGTGAGTGTAAAACTAAATTGTATTACCAAGTATTACTAAGAATTGAAAGTTAGGTCCCATTATCCAGGAGGGTCCTGAAATTCCTAGTTAAACGATAATTAAAAATCTAAGTTATATCTTCTAAAGTGTGACTTCTGCTAAATCTCGTTATCTAAGAGAGTCTTCAAACTACTCCCCATTATCCAGGAGGGTCCTGAAAATCAAAAGTTGAGTTTTATCTTAAGAGTGACAGCTTTTAGGGCTGAATTATACTATCCTACAGCAACATTTTATGCTAAACGTTGCTATCTAATCGAAATTTTACAGCTAAGTCCCATTATTCAGGTTGGTCCTGAAAATTCTTAATTGAATCCTATCTCGAACATGCAAACTTCTAAGCCAACTTATTCCTTTGGGATACATTTATGCTAGATTATGCTATTTCTGAACTTTAAACTAGGTCCCATTTTCCAGGAGGGTCCTGAAAGTTTACGGTCAAACCTGTTTTGATGCTTGCTCTTTCCCCTG